CGGCTTAGATTTGACGTGGCCACTACAATACTCATGCTTAGCTGCTTGATCCATGTTGAATTTGTAAAGGCTCAGATTGCCTTACTCGTCCTTCAGACACAGAAGATGGCAGCTCTGAGCATGGCATCTTCGCTGGCCATCGATGGTTGTAACAGCAATTTCAATTATAAATATGATTTTAGCAAATTCAGAGCACGGTCTTCCTCTAATTTTCATCACTGTACGCAAACGAAATCAAAGATGAAAACCCATTTCTCAAATTCTGGTATTTCTCTTTGTTTTCATTTCCATTTCATGTATTTATGTAGCTATTCTTGTTCATGGTTGCTTGGTCTATTCTGGAATTTCTGATTTTTTTTGTTTTTTTGGCCTAAATGGGTGTGTGGAATTTCTTGAAATGGATGATGTTATTATGATTGCTCTTAATTACTTAATGATGCATTATGTGTTTATTTATCTGATTGGTTTCTGAGAATGTGTAGGAAAAGAAGATAATGCAAATATGATGGAATTTTTTGGAAAATTCAACTGAATTGAGTGCAATAGTTGTTGTGGGTCTACTTGGATGATCGTATCTATTTATGGCTTGTTAATATGGAGGAGATTACATTGATAAAGTTTGTTAGAGAAAAATGAGTTCTCTGGTTTCTAGTTGGTAAAATGGGGGTAAGGAACTGAGCCTATGTGTTATTGGTTACGAAGGGAAAGAGCTAAGAATACAAGCTTTTACCTTTGTGCATTGTGAGGAAATCCAAATTAAAATACAAACTTAAATGCAAGCTTGAGTGGAAATCTTATGTATAGAAACTTTAAACTTCAGATTTTGTATTGAATCTTAATCTGCACTTCTGTATTTAGTTGGCATTATCTGTTTTTAAAAATGTCTCCTTGCTATGCGAAATCAGGTTTGCACTTCACCACTTAATTTCTGATGTAGAATGAGTTAAATTATGGTCTCAAAATTAAGTTTTCTTCTCTGGATGGGACACGCTTTCCCTAGCTGGAAGTGTTAGTCATTGCTTTATTCTTTCTAGACCTTCCAGTTTAGTTCTTGATATACCTCTTGTCTTTCTTAGGAATCCATTCTGCATGCAGTCAAGGCTCATGGATGCATCATAGTTCCACACTTCAAGATGTTACCAAAGGAACAAGTCAATACCAAGTAAACTCTATTTTCCCAACCAAACGGGCGGAAGTTTCCTCAGTACAGGATCTTTTTGACTTTATATGTTCTGGTCCTCTCATGGACAAGACTGGACTGACCTCAGAAAAGGTGGCGGAGTCCATTGACAAGTGGATATATTATGGCTCTCTGCTTTGTCGATTGTTTAAGCTCAATGAACTTTACCTCAGTGTTCCTCAGAAAACTAGGATTTACCACTACTATATACCAGTCTTCTTATGGTGCGAAAACCAGATTTCACAGCACATGTCCACGTTTGAAGATGGGGAAGATATACCTCCTTTAGTGGTACAAAGAAGTTCTTCTATTAATGTCAACATACATTCTCTTTTCTGTGAAAATTTCCAGAACATTTGTGTTTCATCACACTGAGATTCATGAACAATAGTAATTGTATCTCTTTTTTTTTTTTTTTTTGTAATGCAGATTGGCTTTAGTGCCCCACAGGGTTGTGGAAAGACAACACTAGTCTTTGCTCTTGATTATCTTTTCCGAACGACTGGCAGGTAGCAGCAGAGAAATGGAAATTTAATATGTAATTAATGTCGTCTCAATTGATTTTTAGTTACAGAGATTGAAAAGGTTGGAAGAATTGAAATTGCTTATTTGCAACTGAATTTCAGGAAGTCTGCAACATTGTCCATAGATGATTTTTACTTGACGGCAGAGGGTCAGGTGATTCTTATAGAGTTGTTCTTGCAGTCTAAAATTTCTACTTTATATGTTTTTATTTGCTGATTCAAATTATGTTAACTTTAGGTTAAAGTGAGAGATGGAAACCCAGGGAATGCGCTTCTAGAGGTAGTTGGACATATCCTTTCTTGGTAATTGGTATTTTTAACCAAAGTCAGACCTTTGTGTGTAAATCTTTGGAAAACTTATAATGATTTTTTTATTATTGTTCATTTCAGTTTCGTGGAAATGCTGGGAGCCATGATCTTCCACTATCTATTGAAATATTGACAGCTTTAAGCAAGTTGACTAAAGAAGGTACTTCACTTATATTTTTTGGCATGTAATGCAGGTCTATCTTTTCACTGATAACATTGATTGTATTCAGGTATGAAGATGAAGCTTCCACGATATGACAAGGCAAGTACATGACTCCATGAATTCTAGTTGTTTCTTAACCAACTCTGAGTTCATGTTCACTCACCATAAATTATTTTCTTATATAGTCTGCGTACAATGGGAGGGGTGATAGAGCTGATCCTTCAATATGGCCAGAGGTTGAAGGGCCACTGATGGTGAGAGAATCTTCCATTAAAGCATTTATTTTTCTTTCTTTGTTACATGTGGAAGCCAATTGATATCAAGCTAGCACTTGAATTAAAAGAATTGTGTGCAAATGACTTCCATGGCCTGAACCAATATTAATTTAGATGTTGTTTAGCAGTTTAGCATTGTAAGGCCAGATTTCCTATTTGCACCCTCCATTTCCTTTAATTCACCTTATCTCACCATTGATATGTGCGTGGGTTCATAATCAGGTTGTTTTGTTCGAAGGTTGGATGCTTGGTTTCAAACCTGTTCTAGACAAGGTTGTTAAAGCTGTTGATCCCCAGGTTAGAGTAACAAGTATCTTCAGAGGGTGCATCTTTATGTTGTTAGCACAGATTCTGGATTTCTTTTTTAATTTAAACTGTTAAAGCTTAAATCGAGGTTTAACTCCACAGCTAGAGACAATAAATAAAAATCTTGAAGCATACTATGATGCATGGGACAAGTTCATAAAGGCATGGATTGTCATAAAAATTCAGGATCCAAATTGTGTCTACGAGTGGCGTTTGCAGGTTGGTTCCTGATTTAACATCCTCTCCCTCAGCAAATTTACTTAATGGAATGGAATATCCTTATTGGAAATCTTATGGGTGGCTCTTTGCAGGCTGAGGTAGGCATGAGGGAGGCAGGGAACCCAGGAATGTCTGATGAGGAGGTGTGCTTATTGAAGTTCATCTTATGTTGTTTAACATTTTACATTTTCTAGCGGTATTTTTATCAGTTCGTAATACTGGCAGTGATTTATTTTTTGTAATTTTTGCAGGTAAAAGACTTTGTTTCACGTTACTTGCCTGCATACAAAGCCTACCTTCCCACCCTATACTCTGAAGGACCAAAGGGGTCGGATCCAAATCACCTTCTAGTGATTGAAATTGATGAAGGCCGGAATCCCATCCTTGCTACCTAACTAGATAAAATACTCAGAACCTCCATCCTGGTCAAAACCAAAATTTTCATTTTGAAGAAGCTGATTTTTATAGGGCTGATATTGAGTTTTGGGTGTATCCACTCATGTAACATTTTATGTTTATGTTCAATGCAATAAATTATTTTTTTGGATTAAACTTTTCTCCTTGTCTTAAACAATGGTTCTCTGATGTTGACGTGGATAGAATGAAGCAAAGGTTCCATTGCTTGTGTTCTAATGTCTAATGTGATTATGATCTCCCTTGGCCTTCCAATTTTTGTTATTGGATGTTGAGGATTATGGATCACATGTAATAAGTGGACCTTGCAGCAGAAACCCGGAAATGAAAATGAGCTTCAGCAAGATAGTTTGAATACTATTGCTTTTGGCGGTTCTGACAATAGTGTTTCTCCATTTGTGAAAATGCAGCTTGATTTCATTGGGTGGAACCCTCCTTTGGTGGATTGGTTATGAGTAAATGTTATGGCTAACTGAAGGGAACCCTGGAGACTTTGCTGCTACTGAAGGTTTAGGCCGGGATAGTGAGGGAGATTGGGTCTTTGGATTTTCTTATTGCAGGGATGCAAACAGCTTTGGGTGATGGATTTCAATAGGATGATGACCCCCTTCTGCCATATAATTAGAAGAATTCAAGCTCTTTTTGACTAATTGGCAGCTTAGTCTCTTGCATATAAGTTTCGAAAAGGTGTTTCTTAGTGGAACTTCTAAAAAATTAAGAAAAAAAACAGTTTAAAATTACGTTTAAGTTCCCATTTTCATCAATTGGAAATCTGTATTCATTGGTTCAAGGAACCGCTGGATCAAGTTATCAGACATATGATTGAGGATTGGGGTTTCAAGGCCTGCTGCCATTTGGCTATGGTGACATAAGTCATTCCTTTGTGGTCTAGGGCACTTCAATGTCATTTAGTCGTCAAATTGGGTTATTGACTTAATTGTGCTGCTGTGTCCATGTTAGTTTGTTAGACGGCAAACAGAGATTAGCTAACATAAAATTGTTCTGTAATTTGCACTTCATAGCTTGAATGAATAACAATATATGTTGCTCCCTCTATCTCTCTGTCCTTGTCGTCCTTGTTTCCTCTCTATTTTGCTTTGTTCTTCCCTAATTTCTCTTCCTCATCCTCAACTACTGAATCTTCTTTCAACTCAAATAAGATGATTCTTTTGTCTACTCAGTTGGCTATGTTAACAAAGAAATACATACCATAGAAAGCCTGGACCATGTTGGAGATTCTTGCTTGCTGAAAGCTTTCGCTAAATATGTGCACTAAACATTCTTATAGATCATTCTTGCATAAGTAGTAAACAATAGATCGCATATGTGGGTATTATTTGAAGGAGGAAAACCTATCGTTTGAAGCAGATCGACACAGGAACCAGCCGGACGATTATATTTTCTTACTGAATACTATTTTCTTTTTTAATTTTAGTATTTTTTTATTAATCTTTTAGTATCCAATACTTACATTGAATTTCAATTAATTTAAAATTGAATAACATGAGATCTCATTTAGGAAAAACTCTCTTAACATTTATTTTTTTATTTATAAAACTCAAACTCGAGATCTTATTTAAAAGAAATCAAATTCCTTCCACTTAAATTAATATAATTTTGACATTTATAACTAACCTAAATTTGGATCTATTTTCATATCACTCCAGACGAATTTTTCTTTAGCGATTTTAAAAGCACACTACACGTCCATTAATCCATTTTCATTTTCAGTCTTGGGCCTTCTAAAGCAAAAAGTCCAATTTCATTTTCGGCAACAAGCCCAATTTCCTTTCGACAGTCAGATCTTTTTTGTTTAATGAAACTATGAAATAGCTCCATTACTTTGGATTGGGTTTGGATATAATTAGGTCTCAAATTTACAAAATCATGAAAAACAACCCCATTTGATTATAGCTGTCATACGGGGTCATATTTTTTTTAGGGCAGCAATTGCATGAGTTTAGTTTTAACCTCAAACATGATCTTGAATAGCTTTTGTAATAATTATTAGTAATTATAAATATTAATTTTGCTAACATTTTTTTTCATATGTTAAAAAGTCATGTCGTAAAAGGGGTAGTTTGCACACTTCATTAAATCCATCTCTTAAAGGAGATGAAAAGTTAGTTATCCATCTTATAAATAATTATCTCCTCATCACATCAATTTCTCAATTAGTCAAATATAAGTTGTAATTGGCTTCATAGGGTCAAGTGACTTCCATCACTCTAAAGGCTCACTCTTCTTCCCTGAATAATAGTTCAATATGATCTCATGATAATTTTTTTTTTAAAAAAATAGTCAAATATAAGTTAATATTTCGTTAACTTTTTATTGATTCATAAACAAGTTAATTAAGAAAAGTTTTGACTTGATTAAATTAAATAAACTAATTGTTTGATGTTAAAAATTTAATAAATAATTTTTTTGGGTACTATTTTCCTAATATCCGATAACTACACTTGGTACCGACTAATTTGAAATCGCGTTTGGTCGGATTCCATTAGGGAGAAGCTCTCCCATTATTTGTTTCTCTATTTACAATATTTAAACTCGAAACTTATTTAAGAGAAACTAAACCTTTTTTATTTAAACTAATAGATCGTTAATAATAAATAAATTCTTTGACACATCAAATCACGACATATATGATATGAATAACTCTCATTTATTGCATTCTTTCATCTTAAATTTAAACTTATACCTCAAACTCTTATTAGCACAAACTTTTTTAAAATATTCAAAAAAATAACATCTAATTTTATTAGGGGTCACCTTTGGTGCAAAAGAAAAAAGGGAACCCAATGGAATCGCAATCTCAAACTCCATTCCCATATTCCATATTTAAAAGTGTCATATTTAACTATGGAATGAAAATTGATTTCAACTTGTGAGGGAATCCCCATTCCCTTAATCTCAATTTTTGTTTCTTATTTAATTAATTCAAGGTGAACATTTTATTCTATTCCCACGTTGCTTGAAGGAATAGTGAAGTCCCCCAAGGGGATCATATTCATGTACAACTCGGGCCCCCAACTACGCATGTGTTCAATACAGGTTCGACAAAGAATCAAAGACCATGAAACCGTGTGGAAGAAAACGCAAAAAATGGGGGCCCATGTGTTGGGGATTCTTGAATGGTTGAATTACTATCGGTCAACTTTACATTTGAAAAAATAAAAAATAAAATTAGTTCGTGGGTCCGAATTGGAAGATTCATGTGACCATGTTACAGTAGGGTTTTCTTTCAAAATAATATATGAAAATATTATAATTATAATGTAATGTAATATTAAAAATTTATTATATAATCTGTTATAATTAATATTTTTTTATTTAAAAATATATATTTAATATTATATATATTTATACGTTTAACATCATATATATCATATTCATTAAATATAATGTAAAATTGTAGATCTACAATTTTACTATATAAAATACTTCTTTTCTCAGGGGTGTCTGGATTATCACATTGCAATTTAATAACGTCACATTTAAAACCTATAAAGTGACATTTTTATCCATTTTCTAAAAACAGTATATTTTTTTTCTTTCTAAACTAGCCCTTTTAAATTTTAAAATATGTACTGTAGACGACTAAAATTAGTACAAGAGTTTATTATACTTACAACAATGTAACTTTATATTCCTACAGATGTGTGTATATATATACACAAAATGGAATTGGGTCGGGGTTTAGTTCTGACAAATTAATTGATGTTCACTTGCTACTTATAATATTTTCTCGTTAATTCAGTTTAAAGAATATTAAACTTTGACTTTTTGTCATAGATTTGGTTGACAACGTGTTTAATCAAGATGGAGTATCCCCAACTATAAGCCGCAATATAAATTTGTTACAAAGTTTATTTAATGTTGTCTTGTCTGTTGTTATGAATATAACAAAGCATATACTTTATTATTATTATTATTATTATTTTGTATTTACAGTTAAAATATCTTTGAAGTAATTTTTGTATATTTTGAGATTAATCATTTTTCAAGTAATTTTAAGAACACACTTATATATCGTACTGATATATTTAAAAAAAATTAATTTTTTTAAGTACTAATTTCAGGACTTGAATCTTATTTTAGAAGGTAATATTTATTTATGAATAGATCTAACTCTTAAAGTTATTTTAACCTTTAATATATATAAGGTGATACCCACTGACATTTAATCCTTTGTATAAAAACATGCAAGGGTAATACAGTATACATGATTATTTTTCTAACAACAGGTAGAATGGATGATCAATTTCCCAAAGAAAAAAAATCCCTAAGGTCTGTGTTTGAATAAGGATGATCCATTACACAATTGGGCTTGTGGCTCATGTGGTAATGAATTTGGATCTCCCCGTCAGAGAAAGGTTCACATAGACACAGTAGGAAGTAAGTGAAAAAAAAGAGAGTAGGATTTACTTTTTTTCACACAATTTGGGGACCTACTGTAAATTTGGAACTCTTCGAAGATGAGGGATCTAATTAAAAGTTACATCCAAAATTCAGGGACCGATTCATATACCCTTGAACTTAATATAAATATCTCAGCTATATGTAACTAACCCTTAAATAGACATTGATACTAACATTATTTATCAATTCAGTACACTTTACAATATATTAAATTTAAAATTAAAGATAAAAAATTTAAAATTATACATTTTAATAACTAAATTAATAAATATTGATAGATATAATAAAATAAATAGTGTACTAATCATTTTTTCTATTTGATATGTGTAAAAATATATGAAATGATAAATATATTGTGACTTCATACACCTAGTTGAGCTCGCTCATTTAGCTTATAAGTGGAGCATTTTGGAAATGATAAAACATAGTAAAACTAAAAATTTAATCAAGATATATAACTTAACTCAAAGTTTTATAACTTAAAACACAAATTACATCAAAGCATCAAATTATTATATATATAGTTGATTTGTCTAGGGTTCTATCCCAAAAATTAAACATCAAAGTCAAGATTGAATTGTCTTCATACTTGAATAACGAAATGTAAACATGGAATGATGTATAGGATAATGGAGATTCAAACTAATTAATTATATATAATTAATTTTCTCCAAAGCACTTGAAGCATTTCTCTTCATCATTCATGTTTCTTAAAGAACCCTTGATATCACCTCTTGGCTGCAGCCCAAACCCGTTTGCATCTGATCTCTTCATGATCCTCAGCCTCTTGCATGTTTCAATAAACATCCTACAATTGACAAATGTATTGCACTATTAATTATTCAATTTATAAACATATTAAAGCAGTTCAATCTCGTGTTCTCCCAAATGCTTTTGGGAGCCCACATTCAAATTCTCGAGGCTTGTTCAATTGGTTATAATATCTCTTTTCTAGCCAAATTATAAAAAATAATAGCTCTTTTTTAACCAAACTATAAAAATAAGATAAATTTGAGAATATTTTTTAAAAATTTAAGTAATAGCTAAGCCTTAATTTCATGATTTTGTACTAAACTAACTTTTCATTTTTTAAAGAATAAATATTCCCTTATTCTTTACTAATATAAAAAGAAAAATTAAATATTCAATTTTGGCTATTTCTAATTTTATGAAAATTTTTAATGTTAACTTATTTTTATAATTTAGTCGGAACAATAATTACTATCACCAATCAAATAAGCCCCTAATCTAATGCCAATCCCAATACAAAGAGGAAAAAACTATCCCTTTAAACAAGGGATATATGATGAAAACCCAAACACTGAATTAAAATAGTAATAAAACCACACTAAATATGACTCGAGTATGAAACCTAGATATGAAGATCAAGATTTTTCTTGATTGTTGACATAGAAAAACATGACTACTACAACTAAATGATGAGGTTAGCATATATTTGATGCATTGTCTAGAAAGGTTGTAACAAATAATTAAAAATCTAAGAAAAAGTTGATTGAAAATCCTTTTGCTAGTGGAAGGTACGGGATTATGTAAATTATCTCAAGGATTGTGTGGCCAACATTAATCTTTCTCACAAATTATATTGTCCTGCCTTGACCACTCTACAAATCATGTTTTAAGGACAATATCGTAATCAATCCGACACCATTATAAGTACCAAGCTTCTGTCGGCAAAATATATCGTGCAATAAACAGGGAAAATTTTTTGTGAAATGACAAAATTGTCCATGCGTCCCTTACTAGAAACATCATGATTTAAAATCAATCACGCTCATGATAGCCCTAAATGTATATGATTAATCAAACTTTAAAGCTAAAACTTCAACCTTAATCTGTGCATAAACTTCAATGATGAAAAAGCGAAAAAAGCAAAAAAAGTGAAGTTATAAAAAAAGAAGAAGATCATAATTAGACACACGTAAATTATTTTTTGTACTAATCGCGGCGAATATTGGCCCATATGGCGCCTATGTTGTTAAAAAGACAGGCAAAAAAAATTGAAATGTTGATCATGTAATTGTAATTGGAAAACAGATTTGCAAGGTACAAGAAAAAGTAGAGATTTATTTATATGCAAACTCCTATATATTATATTGATGTAAA